AGAATTCAGTTCCTCTAATATTTTATCATAGCTGATCTCCTCCATGCCTCTTATCAGTTTAGTTGCCCTTCTCTGTACTTTCTGAAGTTCAATATTTTGTCACTTACTGGTTCAATGCTTTGTTTACAAGCTATTGCAAGTTTGTTCAAGCATCGGATCAGACCAATCTTGGTATGATCTGATGCTGTTAAGGGCAAAGGAGACTTCTGGGTTCTAAGATCCCAGATGTCTCAGTAAAGACCTGTCATTACTGACTATTGTCAAAAGGGATGTTTACATTCTTTGTACCAGCCATAAAAATTATAGAAAAAAAATGGAATAAAAATATAAAATAAAAAAAATTTAAGCGTCCCCCTCCCCCCGTGCTTGTGCACAAAGGCGACCACACGCGTTGATCCCGCACGCATATATAAACGGCAATCACATCACATATGTGAGGTATCATGGCAAACGTCAAAGTGAGAGCAATGATTCTAACACCAGACCTCCTGTGTAACCCTAAACTGGTAACCTGTTAAGGCATTTAAAGTGTCGCATAGAGAATTTTAGGTACCGTAGTTTGGCACTGTTCCACAGGCGTATGCAATTTTAAAGCGTGACATGTTTGGTATCTATTTACTCGGTGTAACATCATCTTTTATATGTTACCAAAATATGGGTATTATGTTGTGTTTCTGTGCACTAAAATTCATTAACGCTTATTTTTTCCCAAAAATATGCATGTAAAAAAAACGCTGCGCACATACCGTGTGACATAAAAGATTGCAACACTCACCATTTTATTCTCTAGGGCCTCTGCTTAAATACACACACATAAAATGTTTTGGGGTTCTAAGTAATTTTTTTAGTAAAAAAAATAAAAAAAAAGATGATTTTTTTTACATGTAGGAGAGAAGTGTCAGAAAAGGATTGGGAAGCAAGTGGGTAATATGAAAACATAAAAAGCAACTTTAGGCTCCATGACTTACCTTCTCTCTGGAGCTGACCCCCTACCCCCCAACCCCACTAATTCCTTCCCATCACTAGATGTCCACTAGATATCAAATATTTAAAAATCCACTGTGATAAAACCTTTTTAGATAAACTTGTAACAGAGGTCAGCCTGATGCAAATAATCTTATCAATATGTTTTAAATGCCTTGTTTTCATGTATAAATTTGCAGTTATGTATGTAACATGAAGGTAATCAAATCTGTTTATTACATAGGCAGGTGCTGCTTCCTGCTGCACAGTGATTTACCTCAAAGATAGGCATACTGGCCATACCATAGCAATTTGACAAAGTGATCTAACAATCAATTACATTTTTGTTGAAATTTCAAAGCCATCAAAAAGATAAAATGGTGGTTTTGTTTCCCTTTCAATTAGGACACATAGACCATTCAAGGTCCTGAAGGAAAGTTGCAAATTCATGATTTGTTAAAGTGGAACTAAACCCTCAGATCCTTTACAGCCAAGGAAGCTGCCATCTTAGCCTCTGGTTGATCTACAACTACCACGGTGCTGCACGTGATCAGTTATGATGCCGGTCATTTGACAGCTTGACAGTTTGGCTGAGTGCACAAGTAACTGTGACAGCCATCATTCATGGCATACCTTGAATGTAATGGTTTTGGGAAACTGTTAATTTGATAGGTTTAGTTCCACTTTAAGAGGTGAAGTTTAGTTATTACTATTACACCAAGCAACCACAATCACTACCATTTTCCAAACTGCAATTTTGTTACTCGAAAATGTCATATACTACAAAGCAACCCCAGACTGCATAATAAAACATCATCCGACAGTTATTAAACACAGACTGTAACAGGATATAGAATATTGCGGAAGAAGGGATCTCTGGACAATCAATTGTGGAACAGCCCTTGATTATTGAACAGTTGAGAGGCATACAAATTTCGTAAGCTTGGTATACACAGACAGATATTTTACCGACATCCTAAAAGTCAAAGGAGATGAAAAGTCATCCCATCACCAACTGCTCTAAGATCAAATAATCACTTTTGGATGTTTGTTTCACTAAAATCAGTGTCACATTACTTATTTTTAAATGTTCATTTGAGACCATGTGACTGCCAAGCCTCAGTATGTGCTTTTTTTTTTGTGCACAACGGTGGACAAAGTTTTTCTCAGCACCAAAATCAGTTAAAGTCTTCACCGTGGACTAGACTTCCACTGGCAGAGCATCTGCACTGATGGAAGAGCCCGATGTGATGTAGGCTGCATACATAGATAGTAGGGTGGTGCTTCTCCCAGGTGCCAACAGCTGCGGGATATCAGCCTGAACAGTGTTGTCAGCCCAATCCAGGAAATAAAGTCACATTCAGAGGCATGGCAGGATCTACAGGTAGTTTTATTACAATAACTAAGACTAATAAAGGAGGATCATGTCACTGTATATATTTTTATAGGTACATTGCATAGGAGACACTATCATTTTTACCTGGAGAAAACATTTTGCTCTTAATACCAATACTTTTCCCATTTGACTAAAGTTTATCGCCATTTTCCTGAATGAACTACCAAGATCATTCAACATATATTTTCCAATCTGCATCCAATAATTATGTTTTCAGATACAATCGGGCATACCAGCAGAGTAGCAACAGGCTGCAGAGACACTGATGCACAGAAAGGAAAGTAGGTGGGAAGCTGCAGAGACACTGAGGCACAGGAAGGAAAGTAGCTGGGAAGCTGCAGAGACACTGTCACACAAGAGAGGAAGGAGGTGAGAGGATGCAGAAACACAACCACACAGGAGAGGGGAAAGATGGGAGGATTGGGAGACCACCACACAGGAGAAAAAGGAGGTGGATAATATTGAACAGCAGAGAGCACTAGACTAAGTGCAGTAGTATGAACACAGTTTTTTAATAACAGACAATTCGCAACTCCCTTTTAGCTCTAAGAGCAAAGCATGTCTCCATGATTTAAATCACTGCTCTCCATTGGTCCACAAGGTGGATGGCCGGGATGCTACAGTGGCCATCAGCAGGATCAGATGCTGCAGGATGAGCAGAGTGACGCCAAGAGCCAGGCTGGAAAATACAGGGGCACTGGACCAAATGTGATGTCACTGTGAGCAAAACAAGAAGCAGAGGGGCGTGGTTATGCATTTAAAAGCCCTGCAGCTTCTTCCTCAAACCATCTGAATGGTGGAATGGAAGAAGCTGCAGAGCTTTGAAATGTGTAACCACGCCTCTCTGCTTCCTGTTCCACCCACAGTGACATTTCTTCCAGTCCAGTGCCCCTGCGACTCAAATCATGGAGACATGTTTTGTTCTTACAGCTGAAAGTGAGTTGCCAATAGTAGTAATAAAAACTGTGTTCATACTACTGCGCTTAGTCTGGTGCCCAGTGCTGGTCCATTTTATTTTTTTTCAGAGGTGACTTCACTCTTAAGAGGAGCAGCCACTGGTGTGTGGAGCAAGAAACAGACTTCATGGGCTCATTTACATGCACTTTCTGGGGGTTACCAAAGGAATCTATAGATTAATTTATGGTTTATTTATTGTCTGTCTTCCCCCCTTTTCCCTTGTTCACTGGTTGATAAGTAGGAAACGACTGTCTTGCTCCATTTGCTTGTTTTTGGAAGAAGGAGGTGGGAAGCTGTAGAGACACAGCCACACAGGAGTGGGAGGAGGTGGAAGGCTGTAGAGACACAGCCACACAGGAGTGGGAGGAGGTGGAAGGCTGTAGAGACACAGCCACACAGGAGTGGGAGGAGGTGGAAGGCTGTAGAGACACAGCCACACAGGAGTGGGAGGAGGTGGAAGGCTGTAGAGACACAGCCACACAGGAGTGGGAGGAGGTAGGAGGCTGCAGAGACACAGCCACACAGGAATGGGAGGAGGTAGGAGGCGGCAGAGACACAGCCACACAGGACTGGGAGGAGGCGGGAGGATGCAGACACAGCCACACAGGAGTGGGAGGAGGCGGGAGGATGTGCAGACACAGCCACACAGGAGTGGGAGGAGGCGGGAGGATGTGCAGACACAGCCACACAGGAGTGGGAGGAGGCGGGAGGATGTGCAGACACAGCCACACAGGAGTGGGAGGAGGCGAGGCGGGAGGATGTACAGACACAGCCACACAGGAGTGGGAGGAGGTGAGAGGATATATAGACACAGCCACACAGGAGTGGGAGGAGGCAGGAGGATGTGCAGACACAGCCACACAGGAGTGGGAGGAGGCAGGAGGATCTGCAGACACAGCCACACAGGAGTGGGAGGAGGCAGGAGGATGTACAGACACAGCCACACAGGAGTGGGAGAAGATGGGAGGATGTAGAGACACAGCCACACAGGAGTGGGAGGCTGGAGAGGCATGACCACACAGGAGAAAAGGGGTGGGAGGATGCCGAAACATGACCACACAGGAAAGGAGAAGGATGGGGGTCAAAAGAGGTAAGAATAGGTGAATAACAGGTTTGATGGCAATATCATAAGAGTTTTGTGCTGCACGAATTCTGGAAATGTCTCCCTAGAGAAAAGTCTTTCAGATTTTGTTGCACATTTTGGCACAATTAAATATCTTCCAGTACAAAGACTGACATACAGTTTATTATCAAAATGATATTCCCATGCAAGATCTCCATAAACAGCAATTCGCTATTTAGAATGTTTTGGTCACTACAGACTGATTCATGGGCCCTCTTTTATTACCTCCAAGTGGAGCTCACAGTGTGTGTATGTCTGTCCAGTTTCACAACTCTACCGCATTGCACAGGCATGTGAGTGAAACCATGTTTTTCCCCTCTGCAGCTTTTATATTAACTGCCTGCTCACTAGACAGTGAATAGGCACTATGAACTGGACAGTATGGACAAAAATGGCAAACCCACTGTACCTCGTGCCCAGGCAATCTTGTATTGTACAGACAACCAATGATTTAAGTGCATTGTATCCCTCTCCAATCTTATTTTGAAGAACAATGACTGAGGGATGGAGGTACATATGACAATAGTGTACATCGCAAAACTAAGAGATGAACAATCTATTTCAAAATATCGGCATCAACAGATCAGATGGACATCCCAAACACATCAGAGAGTGAAACATGGCAGAACAATAAAGAAAAAAGGCTGAAAACACACATACCAGAGGGCTTGGGTTTATTGAGGACTTCCGAAGGTTTCTCGCTTGCATTGCATGTAGGTGACTTAATCTGGCCTGGAAACCTAAAGACAGAAAATATAAGGGGCCAGTTATTTTGATCAGTGAATAAGGTGAATAATCACACAAAGTGCATTCACACATAACCAAAAACATTGAGAGTGTGTTATTCTTATAAATGTGAATAAGTAACTGGGGCAGTACAGGAGGCCTCTACCCTTACTCCCTGTCAACTAACACATCTCCAGCGCACCATATTACCCGAGGGCCACACAATTTCAGCACGAAAGTGAATAGCAGACCAAGCACACAGCCCAGACCTGCTCCAGCCCACCTAGAAACCATAGAAAAAAAAGACAATACCCAACTAAACATTATTACAGTGAAGAGTTAATGATCTCCACTAATTAAAAAAGAAATTACAGTATATTATGCATCTCTTTGCAGCTCAAAAGGTCAGTACCCAAGCAGCTTATATTTGATATCTGTGCATACGTATATAGCCAGTGCCTAAATGTGATAATATATACTGTCTACAAGCACCTCAGTGTATACAACAGAATAAAAAAAAAAACCTTAGTTATGATAGATATAACAACTACACGGCCCCCTTGTTTGATACTGCTATGCACACTCAGGAGTTGGCAGGCAGGGTATTATCATGAGGTCAGGTAAGAACAGGACGGCAAACTATAAAACCTCAGAGGGGCCTTCAGCTTTGATTCTCCCCACTGAGTCATTCTCAGACAAAGTAAAGCTACATAAGGAGCTATATGTAAAGATTTCGTAACAAAGCCTTTGCAATTTAAATTTGGCACAGAGAACAGAGATTCTCAGATTGTGAGTAGTTCTCTTATGGTGGCATATGCATGTAGTTACACATAGAAGTAATTGTTCCCTACAGAGCACACTAGGAGGGTATACACTGTAAGTGCATCAGGCTCTACTGCATCACACAATACTTCAAATCCAACATGTTTCAGACATTTGGAGCTATGTTTTGGTAGATAGGGGAAGAAGAAGAGCACAGGATGCAATTATATATTTTAGCAGATAAAAGTTAACATATACACTGATCAGCCATAACATTATGGCCACCCACCTAATATTGAGGAGGTCCCCTTTCTGCCACCATAACAGCCCTGGACCATTGAGGCATGGACTCAACTAGACAAAGCATCACACTGCATCCGCTGGCTTGCCTTCTTCTCATAGTGCATCCTGGTGCCATCTTTTCCCTAGGTAAGCGATGCACCCAGCCATCCATATGATGTAAAAGAAAACAAGATTCATCAGACCAGGCAACTTTCTTCCACTGCTCTGTGGTCCAGTTCTGGCACTCACATGACCTGGATGTTAACACGAGTCACTACGGGCACCCTGACTGGTCTGTGTCTACACAGCTCCATGTGCAAGAAAATGTAATGCACTGTGTGTTCTGACACCTTACTATCAGGACAAACAATAACTTTTTCAGCAATTTGAGATACAGTAATTCTTTTACTGCATCGTACTATACGGTTCACCCTTTGCTCGCCACGTGCATCAATGAGCCTTGGCTGCCCATGACCCTGTCATTGGTTTTCCTTCCGTGGACCACTTTTGGTAGGTCCTGATCACTGCCAACTGGGAACATTCACCAAGAGCTGCAGTTTTGGAGTTGCTCTGATCCAGCAGTCTAACCATTACAATTTGGCCCTTGTCAAAGTTATTCAGATCCTAGCGCTTGCTCATTTTTTCTGCTTTTAACACATCATTTTCAGGAACAACATATTCACTTGGTTCCTAATATATCCAACCACTTTCAGGTGCCATTGTCAAAAGATAATCAATGTAATGCACTTAACCTGTCAGTGCTCATAATGTTGTGACTGATCGGTGTATGTATTTTCAGCAGTTTGGCTAGAGATCCACTTTATTTGAAACAATATATTCTGACTTGTTAAATGCTAGAAACAAAAAATGTAATGTTAGAAGATTTGAAAACATAAAATAGAAGCACCTACCTCTCTGTGCAGATGGTGACATGAGAGGGAAGGAGCCGGTCAGGATACTCTCAAATACTGGGTCAGGGAGCTCCCTGTCTAGCTCTGTGGAGTCCTGCTCCCACCAAGGTATAACGCCAGTGATGCCGCAGGCTCCTCCCGACTCACCTTCATAGAACCAATCACTCTGTTCATCATCACCTGCAATACAAAACGAAGCCCATATTTCAGCAGTGACCACTCTATCTGAACCTGTAATTTACTAAACACACATTCACAATCACTCCCCTGTTTAGAGCTGGTACTACTATTTTAACACCCCCTCCCCCCAGCTGCTTACTTACCTTAGTTCCAGGACCACAGCCAATTCTATTGTTAATAGCCTTTCCAACTGACATTTCTTAAGCCTCTAAGGCTAAACTTGGTCACACAACAACATTTGGAATACAACCCTATGGGGACTCGGGTGAAGAGAATGTCATCGGACTGGCTGTCAACAATGGAGAAGCCTGCAACTGTGCAACTGAAGTAAGCAGCAGGGGCAGGGGATGGGTGCAAGGATAGTGTAGCTTAGTTTGGGATTAGTGAAAGTTTTAATAAAATTACACCTGCTGTACTTTTGGATGTTATAGCACTGCGTGAGTCCTGGCACAGATGTCCTGACCTTATCCTGCTAATTACCATGATATTTTGGGGTTGTAGCACTACTCCTATGCCGCTATAGCTACAACAAATGTAGTTGCTGACTTTTAATAAACAGCCTCTCACCTGTCCCACTACCTACCAATGTGCTCACCCCAGCCGTTTTCACCTCCTGTTATCTGTCCCCGATATCTTAACTGTGGGCACCTGGCTGTGACAGCTTGCAGGTTCACAGCCGGGTGCCCACTGCAAATGCGTGAGCCACGCTGTGCATTGTGAATGGGCCGCGCAGTCTTCTGGGACCTGACACTTGTCCCAGAAAACTGTGGAGAGGGAGGCGAAAATCTTGCTTCCGACTGCCTAGGTGGTTGGAGCAGAAGTGGGAAATCAGGTACCCGCTCCCTCCCATAAGAGCCATTTTACAAACAGGAGCGGGGGAAAAAGCCTTAAAGCAGAAAATCCCCTTTTGGGTGGAGCTCCACTTTTAATATTACTCCCAGTTAATCCCACTAGACTAGACATAAGAACTAGAGCCTTGGCATACAGGGAATGGTGAAGGAGCTGCAACAGAGACCTTATGATAAACAGTGTTCAGCTTTAGGCCCTGTTCACATCTGGCTATTTGGGATCATGTGCAGAATTGCCACAATTTTGCCTGCAATTCCAAATCGCACTGCAATCATGGTAAAATGCACCATGTGTGTTTGAGTGCCATTCATTCTTAATGGCACCTCAAAGATGTTATGGTTTTGCCAAGCGGTTGTCGCCCAAAAACAATTCCTGCTTCTTTTTGGGCGACAAACTTCTTGCGATGTGGTTTGCCACACGACAATTGCAGCAAAACTGCCCCATGTTTAAGGTGCCATTAGAAATGAATAGCACCCAAACATGAGTGGCATATTTTGCAGTGAAATTTAGATTTTCGGGCAGAAATGCGACGATTCTGTCTGCTTTCCCAAATCGCCAGATGTGAACGCAGCCTTAACCTCCTGACGACAACATAACGCACATACGCTGTGGCAAACAAATGTGGGCTTTACTGCCCAACTGCCACACATACGTATCCATGACGGCCTGAGGACTTTGAGTTGCAAGTGCGCTCACTGCACACTCCCAGCCCATTGATCGAGTTGTCGCTAACAGCTCTTGGTCAAGATTTCTAATCAGGAGCCAGGCTACCAATCATGTGATTGCTGTGAGAGCCAATCAGAGCCAATATAGAAGGCTTGAGTTAAGGGGTTAAACAGGCTTATTTGTATCCTTTTACTCCAGAAGCCCCTTCCATCAAAGATTTCTCACAACGCATTTAGATGCGAGTGCTTACATCTTGCTGCATATAGACAAGGCTTTAATTACATCTAACCGCTCAATGCCTGTGACAGATAATCATATGTACAGTAATATTATGTAAACAATGATTTGCCCAAATAAGAATCATTAAAAGTCTAACATAAGCACATTAGATCCGCGAATTATGCTCCTGTCACAGCGCGGAAATCCTGCAATGTTTGGTCTTCTCCGACAGTATTAATTAGAAGGCGTAAAATGTTCCACTAATTAGCACGTTTCAATTAGACTTCACAGTATAAATGTTTCAGTACCTTGGCGTCCCTCGTCGTTCGTAAACAAGCCGGCATCGCTGCTGCTAATACTGCTGGATTCGCTGGAAAAAAAAAAAAAAAGCACAAAAATGGAGAACAAAACGATCAATCAGGGCAGATAAAAATATACAGAATTCAAAGTCATTTTCTCTATTTTCTGGGTCCAAAAAAAAGGAGAGGAAAGAAAATCAAATGTGTTTGTAATCAGGCTGCAAATGCCATGGTTTTATGAACTGCCGAGCATATTATTTTTGGCACATAAAACCTCAGGAATCTAATGGGACACTGACAGGGAGCCAGATGTGTCTGCATGGAGGTGCTGACACAAGTGATGAATTTTATTATTTGCCTCCATCAAACGCTCGCTGCTCCCTTTTTAATGCCGAGCCATTCGGTGTGATCTCAGAAGACGCCGGCTCCAGGAGGGAGCAATGTTGGCTGGAAAAGTCTGTTGGAGACCTTCCTTTTGCAAATAAAAACACACAAGCCTGAAAAAAGAGAGAGATTAATCTTTGCAAAGCTCGAAAGTTGTTCACAGCTAAGATCAGCAACTAGACAAGGTTAGCTGAACTTCTGATTATTAGGATACAAAAGTCTGTGCTATCTGGGAACACGATTGAACGCTACAACGGGGCTGGACCAATCCCAGGAGCCAAATTACAAGCATGCATACAATTGGCACCTGGCATCTAACCCTTTATAGTCTTTTCTTTATTAATACTCTTGTCAATTTAAAGCAGAATGAATAGTCCATTAAGGGGTTGTTTACATCAAATGCAGTCAAACGTGTTTTTTAAACTCATTACAAATGCATATACAAGAAAAAGTATTGTATTTTAATAAGCCTAGTTTACACCATTGTGGTGCCTTTATAAAATAAATAAATATTTTATATATCATAAAATAAATATATATAGATATATATATATATTTTTTTTTCCCTCTGAGTAGCATTTGCATATGTTTGCAGTGCATTCGCTTGCATTCCAGTGCAAAAAATGCAGTATGCCGTACTTTTTTTTTCTCCTTAAATGCACATTATAGTACATCATGCTGCATTGTTTGCACTGGAATGCAAGCGGATGCACCGCAAACACATGTAAATATATTAAAAAAAATTATATATAGATACATATTTTTTCTTTTATTAATAACACCAAAAAAAAAAGGAAATGTATTACAAATGCATAAAACTGCACATGCAGTACCTCACAATGATCGCGGGAGTTGCAGTGTATACATGCAAAGATTCCCACTAGTGCTGCTACATAATCACGCATTTTTCAGTGCTTTCTTAGCACGTTTTTGATGCGTTTTCAAGCTTCATGCATTTTTTTTGGAAGAGGAGGAGACTGGCTGTTAAACATAAAACCCTGCCAAAAACACACCTAAAATAATTATTATTATATTATAGGATTTATATAGCACCAACAGTTTGAGTAGTGCTTTTTAATATAAATGGAGACAGAAAAGTTACAAAACAATAAAATACAAGAGGGCCCTGCTCAGAAGAGAAAACTCCCATTGAAGTCTATGGGGCTAAAAATGCACTAGGGTGCAGCAAAAAAAGCATCAGCACCCTTGAATAATCACACTACACCATGCTGCATTGATGTTAATGGGCACCATAGAAAATAACTAGTGTGAACTGGGCCTTAAAGATGAAAAAATGAGCTTCTGCAATTGTCCTATTTAATCCAAATTTATTCTCGGCTATATTTCTTTTCCATCATTAGATGTAAGTCTTCCCAGATGAATGATGGTTGGTATCAATTAAATCCACTTACTCTGAGCCTAGGTTGTTGTGGGCCCACGATTTGTACTTACACTGCTGGCATTTAAAAAAAAAAACACACATTTAAAGCGGTTGTAAACCCTTTTATATACCCAGTGAAGTGAGTGGCCTCAGGTGATACACAGAGATGAAACAAATCTTCCTACATACGTTGTACCTGTTTATCTGCAGTCTTCTCTGAATTTATAAACCTTGTCTGGGAGTTCAGAAAAAGGGGGGCAGAGAGCTGATATTACACACTGCAGAGCTCACATAGGAGAGTGCTGAAAGCTGATTGGAGGGAAGAGACAAACTCCCCTCCACACAGATCACAGGAACAGAGCTGAGTCTGTCAATCTACTGGAGATCACTCCCCGTCGCTATTTTTCTCTTGGTGTCAGGAAAACTCATCAGAAGAGATTCATGCTGATAGCAGAGGAATGAAGCAACAGATAGAAATGACACTTAGTGCTCTGGATAGAGACAAGTACACACTATAGAGGGATATGCTTACCTATGCAACCACTGTAAGTGGTAGTAAGCCACATCAAAAAAAAAAAAAAAAAGAAAAAAAAAAAAAAAACCCTGCAAGCTAAAGGCATAATGTGCTAGTATGAATTGCATACTAACACATTATAAAGGACTTAATTTGAAACAAAGCCCTCCAGCGGAGCGCTGTCACAGTTCCCTGGGGCTGCCATCTTCCCCCAGTCTTCCTTCCGGGATCGTGAGCTCTGGCCAGCTGACTCCCGCACGCTTGCCGGGCCATGGCACAGTGCTCTAAAGGAATGGCACAGGTATGTTGTTCCTTCAGAGCGCATGCGCCAGATATCAAAACGGGCTAATATCTCCTAAACGGTTCACATGTAGGAGATATTAATATTAACGGCAGGTAAGCTTTCTTATCAGCTTACCTGTAGGTAAAATTATTAAAGAAGAGTTTACTACCACTTTATTGATTCAATAAGAAATACAGAACTTAAGTGGAACTTCACTCTCTCAATCAACATGGACTATTTTAATCCTTATATGTGTATCATAATTTTTTTGTTTTAAACTATATTTACATTTCTTCAGTTACTTCATGGTTTCCATGCCTAGGCAAATGATGTCATACATCCAAGGAGTCCTCAGGAGCGGAGGGTGGGTTCTCAGCTCAGCCTATGCCTAAGCTAAGGGCAGATGGATTCCAGGAAGTAATTGCTACATGAATCATCTGTCCTTATCCAAGATGGCCACAGGCAGAAATGCCAGAAAATGTTTTTCAAAATGATTTCTCAGTAAAATAAAGCATGGAGACATGGATAAATGGGGGAGTTTACTTTGAATATTAAAAATGAATTAAACAGCATTTTTAGCTTGTGGTGTGCTCAGATGAAGTGCAGTTCTGCTTAAATTAAATTGTGTCTTTTATATCTGCTTAAAGTCCAGCTTTAAGCAACAACATGCTTTGTAGATTTAATTTAATGAATTTTGAGCACAACTGCATTTTACAAACTAATTTTTAGAAGTGGCATTCCAGGTAAGCAGATAAATATACAGTGGCAATAAAGATGCTAAAGCAGCATTCCATGTTTTAAGCATGAATTAAAAATAAATAGTCCTGCACTTACCAAGATGCTGCTGGTCTTACAGCTGAACAACCGTCAGCATCATTCAACCCAATTCCTGTGAGCCCAGGCTGTCATGGACACACCTCCTGGGGGTGCATCATCATGCTGGCCTGAGATCACAGTTTCACAGCACAGAACATGAACATTGTATAAGCAATGCTCTGTAGTGCAACAACACCATAACACCTACTTATATGAACAAAATTATGTGGAATCCCCTCCAAAGATGCTATAGACCAGGGGTCTCCAAACTTTCTAAACAAAGGACCAGTTTACTGTACTTCAGAATTTAGGAGGGCCGGATTGTGGTCAGCAGGAGTAGAAAAGGTTCTGACGTCAATGGAAAAGAACACTGACACCATCTTTGGTATCATTGGGAGATATTGTGCCCCATCAATGGTGTCAGTGGGGGGGTAATTGTGCCCCATCATTTTTTGTCATTGGGAGGAATTGTGCCCCATCGGTTTTTGTCATTGGGAGGAATTATGCCCCATCGTTTTTTGTCATTGGCTGGAATTGTGCCCCATCGTTTTTTTGTCATTGGCTGGAATTGTGCCCCATCATTTTTTTGTCATTGGCAGGAATTGTGCCCCATCATTTTTGTCATTGGGAGGAATTATGCCCCATCGTTTTTTGTCATTGGCTGGAATTGTGCCCCATCATTTTTTTGTCATTGGCTGGAATTGTGCCCCATCATTTTTTTGTCATTGGCAGGAATTGTGCCCCATCGTTTTTGTCATTTGCTGGAATTGTGCCCCATCGTTTTTTGTCATTGGCAGGAATTGTGCCCATCGTTTTTGTCTTTGGGAGGAATTGTGTCCCATCGGTTTTTGTCTTTGGGAGGAATTGTGCCCCATCAATGGTATCGGTGGATGAAATAGTGCCCCAAGGGCTGAATAAAAGCAAGCAAAGGGCCGCAACTGGCTCCCGGGCCACAGTTTGGAGATCACTGCTATAGACTATTGTGCTCTTCCAACCTGGTGGTAAGAATTTGGGGGAGACCCTTCCCTGTTCCAGCATGACTGTACTCCTGTGTACAAAGCCAGCTCCATAAAGACATGGTTTGATGAGCTTGGTGTGGAGAAACTAAGGAGGCCTGCATAGAGCCCTGACCTCAACCCTAGTGAACACCTTTGGGATGAACTGAAATTCAAATTGTGAGCCAGGTCTTCTCATCCAACATCATTACCTGACCTCAATGTTTTTTGGCAAAATGGGCAGAAATTACCTCATAAAAGCATTCAGAAAGTCTCCATTGCCGCACACCATGCTCAGCTGTAAATCATCTAGCAGCCTCAGCAGACCCTGCCCAAGCTATGCCCCCAATATTTTGCCCCACCCCACCTCCAGGATTAAGCCCAGGGGAGGGGGAAACATGTTGGAAGTATGGCTTGGACAGGGTCTGCTGAGGCTGCTACCTTCTAGATGATATACGGCAAAGCATGATGTGCGGCAGTGGAGACTTTCTGAATGCTTATATTGTGTTTATGGAGCCAGTGCTAACTCTTCTCCAGCATGCACCGCAGCGGGTTCCAGCACAATTTGGGAATAAGCTTTAACGGAGATCCTAATTTTTTTTGGGGGGGGTCCACAAAAATGACCACCTTCTTAGAAGGGAAGAGGCTGTTCTCACTGAAGAACTGCAGAGCAAGGGGGACAACAGCTCCGTAATATTCTCCATTGTTTTGGAACTGGATGTCCATAAGTGTTAATGCCAGGTATCCAAAAACTTTTGGCCATACAATATACTTCAGTCTGGGAATCATCTGTTCTACTAGAGTAATTGCCATAAAAAAATGTTTGTTTAAAAATAGCAGCAGGTGGTAAAAATGTATTCATCAAATGGTGCTATATAAATCAACTTGCCTGCCAGCTGTGAGCCGAAAGAAGAAAAGTAGTATTCAGATGGGTCTACAGGAGGAGTAGAACTCGAGAGTGGAAGGCACCACTGCAATAATATTCAAGTATTGAGCACGGAGCAGGCAGAGGTGCGGGGCAGTTTCAGGCCTCCTAGTTGTGAGAGTCAGGTGTCCACAAAGTTTCTGTCATATAAGGGTGTATTTATAAAACATTCAAATAGCAATTTGCCCAGTGAAAATGAACGTACATTCATTCTGTCTGAATGGCTGAATAAAACTAATGCTATTAGGCTATTTACTGTGCTAGTAATTTAAAATGAAAAAATGCTCCATTTGGCCACTAGATAGTTATAAGTATCAGGAAATCCTATGATACATAGATGCATCTTATAGCCCAACTCCAGGCAAAAAAAAAAAGATTTCCCATATACTTAGATATACTTACCTGATTATCTGATCCTCCACTCACAAGACCTTTCCCTGTGGATCCGATCACCCCCCCCCCCCCATCACAATCTAGAGGTCTTGAACAATGGATTGTTCCTGATGTCATCAAGCCCATAGACCTGCTCTGGACTTGAAGATGTCAGGAACAGTCCACCACTGGATTGCAGGGAAGCACTATTTGCCGCTGGCGTGGAGGGTCGGGTAAGTATAAACTTTCTCGTTGGCCCACTGAATGGGAAAGCTTTTTTTTTTTCGTTTGCCAGAGTTGGGCCTAAATAAATGAAAAAAAAAAATAAATGAAAAACATTTGCCCAGTGGGGGAATAGCCTAAAAAAAATTGTTTTTGAAACCTTCACATGCACAAGCATGTTCATTGGGCAAATTCCTATGGCAATTTTTATAAGCAGAGTTTTGGAAGGGCAGTTTTCTCATGGGCATACCAACGGTAAGATCTTCCCAAAGTCGTATGAGTACTTGCCCTTCCACTAATAAGGTACAAAGAACTCATGCCTAGCATTCATTTCTACCCCTCATGTCACCCCAAGTACAACCTGTCACTCATATTCTCATCCGACCCCTTCTGTTCTTCATATTCCATCTTGTCTTTGTTTCCAAGCACCATGTCTTCTCCTTCTACCACAACTCCCTCATCGAGAACTTCATGCCCATGTTTTGGTGGTGCTATCTTCCTTTTTTTCACTTTGCTCTTCATTATGTCCAGGTGCTGATAATGTTTGCTGTCATTGTCTATTGGCTGATCACGACTTTGAGACAAAGTCATAGCACTAGAGACATCTGCCGGAGGGTCAATGGCCATCCGTTTCACTTTCCGTCTCCTTCTCAAGGTTCTGCTCCCCATAGTGTCGGCAACTAAGTCAGACTCATGCCACAAAGGCCTTTTATTACGTATAGTATTGATGTTTGAGGATGGTCTTCTTTTTGCTTGTAAGAGTTGATCGTCGGAGTCGCTGTCTTTTTTGTTATTGCTAACACATTCTCGATAGTCCTTGTTCTGTTCTTCTAAACTGGAGTCGGAGCCATCACTAAGACAGTGCCCAGGCTCCCATGGGTGATGGGTATTGTCAGAGCGCCTTTTCCTTCCTCTCCGCTTGCGCGCTTGGCGTTTCAGGAGACATGAGATGCTGCGGGAGTGATCCCCGGTGTCTGCAAAACATCCTCTGGCCTGCTCGGAGCTTTCTTCCAGTGCTGACACAAGATCATGGACAAGCTCTTCCATAGTCCTACTGAAATGCCTGTGGAAAGAGAGAATGACATCACCATAAAAGAAGACCATTTCAGATTTTACAGAACACATAATTATCTTATATTTTTTGCAGGCAAACTGGGATTAGTGCCGATTCACATATGTGCGGTTCAACAGCTGTAGTTTCAGTGCAAAATGAAAAGCAGTCGCTCAGTTCAGGATTTGAAGAGAGAAAACCGGTCTGGAATCATGTTCACAAACTCATGACGTGCAACTCAGAAGCGGTTCCCGCAGAAGTCAATGAGCCTGTAATCCGCACATGAAACGGACCGCACTGCTTGGAAAATGGACAGCACTCTTTTTCAATCCGCACGGCCAGTGATCCGGACATATGTGAACAGGCGCCAACAGGAAGCAATGTTATTTCACATATCACGCAAATTGGATGAGGTTCAAACCGCATTCAATCCACATATATGTGAACCAGCACTAGCACCTACCTTACCAATGTTTCCATTCATATAACAGAATTTTTAAATGAATATTGCTGCTTATGTTTGACTTGCTTAAAAACCCCACCTAGGGTTATATTGCAGCTTACCAATCATTAGATGTGTTGGCTGCATTAGTTTACTTTTTTCAGGCCTTTTCCCTCTGTTTTCACCTGGTGAACTGGCCAGTAACACACCTACTGTATTAGTGAGACAACTCTGGAGGAATGAGCACATGAGGCACAGCAGACAGCAGTATTGTAAGTCTGGGGGGTGGGGGTGTTAAATGTATTAGCAGGTTTAAACACACTTACAAGCTGAAGCTCCAGCTTAAACTCCAGCTTACACTTTTATACGCAATTGCAATTTTCCTTTTGGGATAAAGGTTTTGCATGAATAAATAAAAGCTGATCATTTTAATCACCCTTGTCAGTGTTAAGTGGTTTGTCTCATCCATGTAAACTGATGCATTCTGCTGGAGAGATTGTGCTGTGAAAAAAACAGGCTTGCTGGCTGGATTACTAAAAGAAAATAGAAGAAAGCCAAGAAAAGAAAACAAATGCAGCCATCACATCTAAGAATCTGTAAGGTGCAATATAAAAAGGTTTGATTTTGGGTTTAAAACTGCTTTAACCCCATTCGTACTGTGCCGGCAGATCTCCATTAACAGTAGTAAATTAGATGTGAACACAAGTTCACAAAAGGTAAAGCAGTACAAAAAGCAAAAATGTATTTTTATTGCAACTTACCAACTCTTAGATGTAGTGACTGCATTAGTTTCATTTTTTTCAGGATTTTTTTTCACCTGGTGAACACAGCCAGTAAGTCTGTTATTTTTAAATTTCTTCAACAGACCAAGCTGTCCAGCAAAAGAATCAACTGCAAGGTTGAGATAAATCATTTAACACTGACAGAGGTGCTTACAATGGCCAGCCTATATTCTTTTATGTAAAACCTTTATCCCAAAGAGAACACAAAAACTGTTGCTGTAACTGTTACTTGGAGCTCAGCTTTAATTTATTGTAAAGTCCATCTAAATCTTCTAGTGCATCTAACACTTCCCTCTCCACAGGTTGACAATGGTGTTGGCCAAGGATGGCTCCAATGCTTCTCCATAGAATGAAGTCACCCTAAGACAGGTAGTGTATTACTGGCAAAATCATCAAGTGCAAATATGCATGAAAGCCTTGGCTGGGCCCCTCCTGGGTCCCTCCCTCCCCATTGGCTGAGAGCAGTGGTAGACATTGGCTCCTACTTCTGTCAATCACAGCCAGTGGGCCAATGAGAAGAGAGCAGGGCCAAACCATGTTCTGTGTGTGAAAGGACACACAGAACAGCAGCTCAGGAGGGAGCCTGCTCAGGTGCCCCCATAGCAAGCTGCTTGCTCGAGGGGTACTGGGCAGGGGGGAGGGGCCAGGAGCTCAAGCGGGGGACCCAAGAAGAGGAGGATCAGAGATGCTCTGTACGATTACACAGAGAAGGTAAGTATGACATGTTCGTTATTTTAAAAAAAAGTAACCTTTAATATCACTTTAAAGCGGAGCTCCACCCAAAAGGAGAAGTTCCAATTTAAGGCTTTGTCCCCTGCTCCCCGTTAAGGATTGACACCTTTGAGAAGCGGGTGCCCGAATTTGACAGGTTCCAGTTCCCACTTCCGGTGCGGAAGCGGAAGTTGTCCTCCCCCCTCCCTCCCCGTAGTCTTCTGGGATACGTGAAGGTCCCAGAAGACTACGGTACCATTCAAAAAGTGCAGCACTACTCGCACATGCACAGTGGGCACCCTATGAAGCCGCAAGCTGTCACAGCCAGGTGCCCACACTGAAGATGCCGGTGCCAGGGAGAGAAGACGGCCGGTGAAACCAGCCCGTGGTGAGGACACCGCTGGACCAAAGGGCAGGTAAGTGTCTGTATTTTATTATTATTTTTTTTCTATTCAACTGGAACTCCGCTTTAAGGATTTGGTAAGCTGCAATATATTAATAAAATTTGTTTTTGGGTTGAATATCGGTTTTATATTTGATTTGGGCTTTGGCGTTTCCTGTGCAGTGTGGGTGAAGTTATGCTCTAGTGTGCTGCCCTGAAAAATATGGTTTGGAAATTTCTTTTAAATGTCTGAAATCATTTTGGATAGGTAACTGCAGTCCAGGGTAGATAAAAATCAATGATTTAAAAAAAAAAAAAAAAAAAAAAAAAAAAAAAAATCGGATTTTTTTTTATTTAAAATGGATTTGTTTGAATAAAATGCTTTTTGAGGAAAATATATTACCATCCAAAGGTTGTTCCATCATGAAATAAAGATTAGTTTTTTAAATTATGTAGAATAAGGCTGTATATGTTTAATTTTTTGGTAAATAAATTCCATGAATCCATTCACAATGTCATGCTCTTCCAGAGGTTTTTGTCAGATTATTGGGCAGTTTCTATGCCTACAAGATATTATCACAGATTCTTGGTTTACTTTTTCAGTTCTCAAAACTGAATTTGACTCAGCGGAGATCACATGACTCTTCTTCACAGCAAAAATGTTATAACATGAACAGAGTTAAGAAAAAGACCTTCATCCTAACTTCTACAAACCTATGAATACAGAATCAACCCCTTCAGTGCTAAGTTTCAAGAAGTTCAGTGAATAGAATAGAAACAATATTTTTCTGATTGTTTGGAGTGGAATAGATCTGCACAAGAAGAAAGTGAAACTAAGTGTGAGGAGGAAGGGGCTGACAGTCTAAGTTTCTTAAAATATATACCGCATTTGCCGGCGTATAAGACGACCCCCAACATTTCCACTCAAAATATAGAGTTTGTTATATACTCGCCGTATAAGACTACCCCCTCTTTCTTTTTGCTGGTGCCATGATAGGGTTGATAGGGGTTTGACTGCTGGACATTTTCTATGCTGTATTGTACTGTACAATGGTCCAGTACTGTGGTTGGCTGTTGGCTGTATACAAAGCCTGATTGGATTGGTCCCTGCTCCCTGTCTGCCCTCCCTGTCTCCCTGTCACTACCATGTCCCTGCATCTCCCTATAATTGGCACTAGTGCGCAAGTCCGCATGTGCGAGCCCTGCGTAGACAAGGGGCGGGCCGGAGCGCTGCTGCTTCCCGCCGAGCAGAACGGCTGGTCACGCTGAAAAGGCTGGCACCCCTGTATTGCTGCTGATGCTCGCCGCAGCCACGCTGATGACCCGCCGCGGCCTCACTGGATACCGTGCGATACTTTATGGTATGTAGAATGAGGTGGGCGGGCACCGCGCAAGTATCAGAAGGCCACAATGGCAGCTATGTCTATTGCAACTGAAGTGCACCCGGAGTATAAGACGACCCCCCCACTTGGAGGCATGTTTTTCAGGGCAAAAAAGTCGTCTTATACGCCGGCAAATACGGTATATTTTGTTTAGCCAAATTAGTTAACAAACATGGATGTTTAAGCAAATAACATATGCTGGAATGTTGTTGTTTCAGTTGTATAAATCTATTTAAATTGTTATTATTAAGGTAATGATTATTTTTCTCCTTCCTAAGTACAACAGAAAAGTTGTCCAAATATGAATGATTAACCTATTAAACTGGGGATAAAAAAACTATGAAAAGTTGTTATTCTAAAAATCTTCATCTACTTGCATATTAAAGTTATACCAGCAAGAATTAGTCTTTATGTAGAAAACTAGGATTTAAATCAAGCCTTACTGACTAGTGATTTTTAAATCAGTTTGATTTAAATCAAATCCACCCTGCTACAGTCCCTGCTCCAAAGCTTACAATCTAACGTCCTTCCCATTTACATATGCCAAGCATAGGAACCCATGTCCCCAGCACCAAAAAGACTACAGTGCCATTAAATTGGTCACTATTGGTCACACTTTCTCAGATGGGTAGAGGGTAAATGTTTAATATCTGTCTACATTCTGTTTGCTGCAGCTCAGACCCTGCCAGTGTCACCTGATTGCTGTTCAACTTTCAACTCTATCGCTGGAACACATAAGCCTCTTCCTCTGTGCTCTCTTCAACAATGCCGTCTGTCTGGCAAGCATCTTTCCCTGCTGGGATATCATGGAGAGGATGACACAACCAGAAGCCAAAAAGCCTTTCAGGCATAAGCTATTGTGCCTATGAAGACATTATTCTGTTTGGCACTAGCGAGGGTACCATGCATAAAAGGGCTCAGGGAACAAATCGTCCATTCACAAATTTGTATTATAGCAATTTATTAGCCTTTATCAATTTCTTCACAGCCATTACAATGTCATATATAACAGGATTATCCGAGAAAGACTGCTATCGTAAGCGAACTGTACAGGTTGGACAGATGTGTTGGGTAATCCAGTAGGGTAAAATGTTGAGCATTTTGACAGAAAAGAGATTTTCATCTTAAAATGTCATACAGGGATATCCAATTTGTATCACCCGACACCCAGGACATGTACCGTATTTGCCGGCGTATAAGACGACTGGGCGTATAAGACGACCCCCCTACTTTTCCTGCTAAAATGTAGTGTTTGGGCTATACTCGCCATATAAGACTACCCCTCTTCCAGTGCACACCAGTGGGAGGAATAGTGCCCCATCATCGGAGTCAGTGGGAGGAATAGTGCCCCATCATTGGTATCAGTGGGGGGAATAGTGCCCCATCATTGGTATCAGTGGGGGGAATAGTGTCCCATCATTAGTATCAGTGGGGGGAATGGTGCCCCATCATTGGTGTCAGTAGGAGGAATAGTGTCCCATCATTGGTGTCAGTGGGGGAATGGTGCCCCATCATTGGTGTCAGTGGGGGGTGGAATAGTGCCCCATCGTTGGTGTCAGTGGGGGGTGGAATAGTGCCCCATCGTTGGTGTCAGTGGGGGGGGGAATAGTGCCCCATCGTTGGTGTCAGTGGGGGGGGGAATAGTGCCCCATCGTTGGTGTCAGTGGGGGGGAGGAATAGTGCCCCATCATTGGTGTCAGTGGGGGGAGGAATAGTGCCCCATCATTGGTGTCAGTGGGGGGGGGGGGAATAGTGCCCCATCGTTGGTGTCAGTGGGGGGGGGAGGAATAGTGCCCCATCATTGGTGTCAGTGGGGGGAGGAATAGTGCCCCATCATTGGTGTCAGTGGGGGGTGGAATAGTGCCCCATCGTTGGTGTCAGTGGGGGGGGGGAATAGTGCCCCATCGTTGGTGTCAGTGGGGGGGAGGAATAGTGCCCCATCGTTGGTGTCAGTGGGAGGAATAGTGCCCCATCATAGGTATCAGCGGGAGGAATAGTGCCCCATCATTGGTATCAGTGGGAGGAATAGTGCCCCATCATTGGTATCAGTGACACCAATGATGGGGCACTATTCCTCCCACTGACACTTGCTGACTCTGTTCTCGTATGGTGCTGCTGCAGCCAGCATATGTGGTTGCAGCAGCACCTCTACACTGACCACTTACCTGCTGGTCCTGCACTCGATTTTCGCGCGGCCGCTCGGCTCCACCCTCTCGCCGGTGATTGGCCGCCTGTGTGCCTTTCCTGAGCTACAGTTCTGGCGGCCAATCGCTGGTGAGGAGGCGGAGCCGAGCAGCCGCGCGAACATCCAGTGGCCGAACTGAAGGCGCAGCCGCGCTTCCTGGACCGGATCGTCGTGGGACCGGAACCAGGTAAGAAATAGCCCCTGCCCACCCCTGTACTTAGTGTCCCTTCCGTTAGGGGAAGGGGGGGGGGGCGGCGGCGGCACCGCGCCGCCCCCCTAAAAGTGTCATGTCATGTTATACCGGCGTATAAGACGACCCCCCGACTTTTGAGAAGATTTTTAAGGGGTAAAAAGTCGTCTTATACGCCGGCAAATACGGTAGTTCCAGGAGCCGGGCAGGTAGTTTTTTTTTACTTTAGCCCTGCTGCAGGCAAGCAGCAGGGCTCACCTGTCAGGTGGAAGCATTTGGGCAGCAGTGCTGCCGACCGATCGCTTCCACACAGCCCACAGTGCCAGCCTCTCCCTTCTGCCCACTACATGTCCCAGGTTTCGCTTGCCCATCTTCGGGCCCAGGACCAGTTCGGTAGCTGTTGGAGGGTATATGGGAGGGAGGAGAGCATATAACCCCCTAAAAACTTTTTCAAGGCCCCCCACCCCCACATATGTACGCACGTACAAACGTAAAAGCACGTGCTGGGGCGCCTACGCAAGAAAACGACGACTGCGATATACATGTTACATATTGCCACGCATGCCAGAAAGAGAGCAATAATTCTAGCACCAGACCCCCTCCACGCTAAATGCTAAACTGATGACCTATAAGGGGCTTCAAAAAGCGTCATCTATAGAATATAGAGGGTACTGAAGTTCATCGCCATTTCACAGGGGCACGCAAATTTGACATGTTGGATATCTATTTACTCGATGCAACCTTATCTTTTATACTTAACAAAAAAAATTGGATAATTTATTGCTTTTCGTGCCCCAAAATTAACTTAAGTTTACTTTTTACTGAAATTTTGTATTTCCTAGACCAGTGATAATAACGTGTGACATAAAAATTGGAACTAACACTATTTTATTCTCTAGGGCCTCTGATTTCAGAAAATATATCATGTTGGGGGTTTTGTGTAATCTTCAGGCCTTAAATTATTTTTTAAACTTGTGCAAAAAATACAAAAACGGCTCTGACAGTGAAAGGGATAAAAGGATAAGCCCAGCACTCTCCTTTCCTGATGAGCACCCAATCGGTGCTCATTACACTGCAAGGTCTCTCCCCTCTCTGTTAGTCCCCGGGGTGCGTTGCTGGAGACAGGCAGGAAGGGGAGGAGAAGATAAACACTGCAATGTTACGAATATTAAATGTTTAAGTCTCCACAAAACCCTTTTTGTTTTTAAAAGCCCCTGACATTCCATAAAGCACCTCAGATTTAAATACGGTTTTGGTTAAAATGTACCATATTTTTCGCTCCAGAAGACGCACCTAGGTTTTAGAGGCGGAAAACTAGAAAAAATATATTCTGAACCAATGGACTGCAGACATAGTACAGGAAATGACCAGACACTGCAGACAGAGTAGTACAGGAGATGACCAGAGACTGCAGACATACTAGAGGAGATGACCAGAGACTGCGGACACAGTACAGGAGATGACCAGAGACTGCGGACACAGTACAGGAGATGACCAGAGACTGCGGACACAGTACAGGAGATGACCAGAGACTGCGGACACAGTACAGGAGATGACCAGAGACTGCGGACACAGTACAGGAGATGACCAGAGACTGCGGACACAGTACAGGAGATGACCAGGACTGCGGACACAGTACAGGAGATGACCAGAGACTGCGGACACAGTACAGGAGATGACCAGAGACTGCGGACACAGTACAGGAGATGACCAGAGACTACGGACACAGTACAGGAGATGACCAGAGACTGCGGACACAGTACAGGAGATGACCAGAGACTGCGGACACAGTACAGGAGATGACCAGAGACTGCGGACACAGTACAGGAGATGACCTGAGACTGCGGACACAGTACAGGAGATGACCTGAGACTGCGGACACAGTACAGGAGATGACCAGAGACTGCGGACATACTACAGGGATGACCAGAGACTGCGGACATACTACAGGGGATGACCAGAGACTGCGGACACAGTACAGGAGATGACCAGAGACTGCGGACACAGTACAGGAGATGACCTGAGACTGCGGACACAGTACAGGAGATGACCAGAGACTGCGGACATACTACAGGGGATGACCAGAGACTGCGGACACAGTACAGGAGATGACCAGAGACTGCGGACACAGTACAGGAGATGACCAGAGACTGCGGACATAGTACAGGGGAGATGACCAGAGACTGCGGACACAGTACAGGAGATGACCACAGACTGCGGACACAGTACAGGAGATGACCACAGACTGCGGACACAGTACAGGAGATGACCACAGACTGCGGACACAGTACAGGGGATGACCACAGACTGCGGACACAGTACAGGAGATGACAAGAGACTGTGGACACAGTGGGGTGACCAGAGACTGCGGACATACTACATCATATAAAGTACCAACAGGGCCTCTCCACACAGAATATCAAATGATCTGACACCATACATCAAGGAAAAGGACTACAACTCCCAGCATCTGTCATTTTTAACTTACAGAAGGCAGGCATAGAAGGCAGGGGGGCGCACTGAGCTCCGAGGACAGGCCACACCAGCAGATAGGACTGGACTGCAGAGCAGGGGAGCGCACTATGGACACATGCCAGGAAAGGGGAGGAGCTGTAAGGACAGGCCACACCTGCAGACCAGACTGCAGAGCAGGAGCGCACTATGGACACATGCCAGGAAAGGGGAGGAGCTGTAAGGACAGGCCACACCTGCAGACCAGACTGCAGAGCGGGAGCGCACTATGGACACATGCCAGGAAAGGGGAGGAGCTGTAAGGACAGGCCACACCTGCAGACCAGACTGCAGAGCAGGGATCACACTATGGACACATGCCAGGAAAGGGGAGGAGCTGTAAGGACAGGCCACACCTGCAGACCGGACCGGACTGCAGAGCAGTGAGCGCAGTACATAGACATGCCAGGAGCTCCTAGGACAAGGCCACTCCTGCAGGGCGGACCGGACTGCAGAGCAAGCTGACTGGGTTCGGCGAGGGGGCTGCCTGCTATGAAGAGCTGCAGGGACACCCCGCTGAGAGAGGGGATAAGGTAGGGTGAACTTCGGTGACAGCCTGCAGTGGGATGGGACAGCCGCTGGCCCTAACACGGCGGCGGTGACAGGTGTGGAGGACTAGTCAGTATTCACTCCATAAGACACACAGACATTTTCCCCCATATTTTTTGGGGGGAAAAAGTGCGTCTTATGGAGCGAAAAATACGGTATTTATTTTTATCAGGACAAGTAGATTGGGGCACAGATTTAGTCCCTGGACAAGTAGTTTTTTCAAAAATTTCCACACCCCTGGTCAGACATGTGGGTCTGACACAGAGCGCAGCAGTCTGGATCTCCAGTAGTCAGACATGAGGGTCTGACACACAGGGTGGATTTGATTTAAATCACAATTTAAATCACTATTCAGTAAGGCTTGATTTAAATCCTAGTTTTCTACATAAAGACTAATACTTGCTGGTATAACTTTAATATGCAAGTAGATGAAGATTTTTAGAATAACAACTTTTCATATTAGTTTTTTTTATCCCCAGTTTAATAGGTTAATCATTCAAATTTGGACAACTTTTCTGTTGTACTTAGGAAGGAGAAAAATAATCATTACCTTAATAACAATTTAATAGATTTATTCAACTGAAACAATAACATTCCAGCATATGTGATTTGCTTAAACAAACATCCATGTTTGTTAACTAATTTGGCTAAACAAAATAGATATATTTTAAGAAACTTAGACTGTCAGCCCCTTCCTCCTCACACTTAGTTTCACTTTCTTCTTGTGCAGATCTATTCCACTCCAAACAATCAGAAAAATATTGTTTCTATTCTATTTACTGAACTTCTTGAAACGTAGCACTGAAGGGGTTGATTCTGTATTCATAGGTTTGTAGAAGTTAGGATGAAGGTCTTTTTCTTAACTCTGTTCATGTTATAACATTTTTGCTGTGAAGAAGAGTCATGTGATCTCCGCTGAGTCAATTCAGTTTTGAGAACTGCAAAGTAAACCAACATCTGTGATAATATCTTGTAGGCAGAGAAACTGCCCAATAATCTTACAAAAACCTCTGGAAGAGCATGACATTGTGAATGGATTCATGGAATTTATTTACCAAAAAATTAAACATATACAGCCTTATTCTACATAATTAAAAAACTAATCTTTATTTCATAATGGAATAACCTTTGGATGGTAATATATTTTCCTCAAAAAGCATTTTATTTAAAAAAATTCGATTTAAATAAAAAAAAATCTGATTTTTTTTAAATTTTTTTTTTTAAAATCATTTATTTTTTTTATCCACCCTGCTGACACACACAGCACAGCAGTCTGGATCTACAATATTTGGGACATGCAGGTCCAACACACAGAGTGCAGCAGTCTGGATCAACTTCGGTCTGACACACTAGTCCAACACACAGCACAGCAGTCGGTAGGTGTGTCCTGCTGGAGATCTGGATCACTTTTACACAGGCAATCTGATCAGGTCCACCTGTCAGTTTTTCAGGCAGACCTAATTGGAAGGTTCATTTTTCCCTATGGACAGGCGGGTATAAACAGCCTAACTCCAGGTCTGATCTAGTCGGCTAAACAAAAAAAAAAAAAAAAAAAAAAAAAAAAAAAAAAAAAAAAGGAAGGAGATCTGTCCTCTTTCGTTTTGGCACACCGGATGATAGGGGAGTCTGTTTACTCCTGGTCGCCCACAGAGCAGAGTGGGCTCTGTCCATGTCCGCTCTGCAAAAACTGAGCAGACACGGATGTGTCATCCGTTTGCTCTGTTCTGATCAGTGGGGGATCTGTGAACTGATCCCATTCTGATCGGGAACAGATTCAGCACAGAGCGGTGTGAAAGGGACCTAAAGAGGCATCATTCATAAATACAAAGTAACATTAATATGTTTACTCTGCTTCATGGACATGCAGGTCATAGTGGTGACCTTTGATCTCAATATGTCAGTTAAAAAAAAACTTCAAGAAAAAAATAAGCAATTAAAATCTGCTGGCATTTGAGTTAAAGCGGTGCTCCACCCAAAAGGCGAAGTTCCGCTTTAAAGATTGGTCCCCCATTCCCCATTGACAGGTACCCGCTCCCACTTCCGCTGCGATCGCCTAGGCCTTCTACCCTCCCTCCTCGTAGTCTTGTGGGAACCGTGATAGGTCCCAGAAGACGACGGGGCCATTCAGGAAGCACAGCGCTACTCGTGCATGCACAGTGGGCACCCGGCTGTGAAGCTGCAAGCTGTCACAGCTGGGTGCCGACACCAAAGATGCCAGCACCTGGAATACAGGACGGCCGGTGAAACGGGCTGCGGTGGGGACACCGAGGGATCGTGGGACAGGTGAGTGGCTGTTTTTTAGAAGTCAGCAGCTACAGTTTTTGTAGCTGCTGACTTTTATTTTTTTACAGGGTGAGTGGAACTCCGCTTTAAGTGCAAAGAAGTGTATGCCAGCCCCTGGATCTCTCGTTTGTTTAAATTTACTGGTTCCCTAATAGTATAACTTTGCCTATACTCCCAGTGCTGCAAAAATACAGATCTCCTACACATCAGCCACTGTGCCTACCCATGAGCTCCAGTGCCCATTCACAGCTTTGGATTTTGTGAACGGCATCACAATCTTCTGTGATTACGAAAGTGGAGATGAGGGTCGGGCAAACAAAGCGACAACTGCTGTATAGGATACTCGTAGCTGGGGTGTCAGAGATCTGGAAGTATATCGCTATCTGCGTTCAGTAAGACAGTAAATTGCAAAATAGAATTTAAAGCAGAACTTTACTCATTACAATTGATAAAAAATAATCTTCTTTCTCAGGGAACATTCCACATTAATAATTATGCTACCAAAATTCGTGTGTGTGCTGTAAATTGCTCATTTTCTATTTTGACCAGATGGCTAGTTTTGTTATTTATTGCAAATGTGTTGTTTAAACGGAAAAGTTCTCCTTAAGGGAAAAAATAATAAATGCACACATTTTTGCAGGAAAAAAGAAAAAAAAAAAGTAAATTTATTATTTTTCCCCCCATGAGCCTGCAAAGCATTGCACCCACGATCAGAGGATCACAGGTGCAATGTTAGGCTCCTGCAGACATGTCCTATATCTTCCTGCCCATACCTCTGTACATGCTTAGTGTATGTAATCTGGAAGTGTCAATGGACTAAGAGGGCACTTATCAGAGCGGAAAGCTTGCTTAGCTTTATGTGGGTTTCAATGTCAAAAACTGCTTAAAGTTTGAATTGGCAAAGGAACATGGGAGGAAGTTGGGATTGGGGACTGGAGAGCTCATTCACATGGACGCAGAGGCCTGCACATTTGTATGTTTTTAGAGGAGCATGGAACTGCAAGCTGGCAGCCTATGTTAGTCAAGCCATACATAATGCGATTTTCAACCCATGGTTGCAGGAATAAAAATCTCTCGATTTCCCTGTCAACACAGGGAGTGCTAATGGGGGAATCCCTACACCAGGGCTATTGTGCTCTGCTGGCAGGGAGCCTTGTAAAGAACACAATTGTTACTGCTGACAGCTATAGTCGTTGGCAGTAATCAAATGCAAAAAATTCAACAGGTTGGTTGCACTGAAGTCGATCGATGGACAACCAGACTGCCCATAGATGGATTGAATCTTAGCCAGTCCCTACTGAACCAGCGGAGATTCTCCATCTATGGCCAGCCTTAGTCAATGGAGACACAACAGCTGTATGAACTCACCCCCACAGGTCGGAGTTTGACAGGTGTGAAGGGAGAGGTGCGAGGTTCAGAGAAACACACAGATATCAAAACACAGCCCTCTAAATATCAAGCTGGCCATACTTGGTTCAAATCTCAGCCAGTTCAGCAGGGACCAACCAAGATTTGAATTATGTACGAGCAGGCTAACTGCACCAAAGTTGATCGATTGATCAACTTGGGTACAACCAGCAGATCGGATTCTTCATGGGAATACCGCTTGTTCTTCTGGCAGGGTCGTCTCCATGCGCCCCCCTGCCAGGTGAACACAACAAATCCACAAGAGGGATTTCCTCATCAACACTGACTATCTTGAAATCAGTGAAAAAATTGAAATTGGATAGATGGCTTTACTCATTACCTAGCCAGCAATCCCAACCAAGCCTCACCACCAGTAGTGTAAGTTTCAACTACATTCTGATTAAAACTGCATTAAGCCAGTAAGGAAACGCCTGCAGTAAATGTCCCGGCACCACCCTGGGTTTATGAGCTGGGCAGTCCTTGTGTCCTCCCAGAGCTCTGTGTCTACAATAACATACCTCATCCACATGACAGGATAATGATAAAGGATACAAAGTAATATTTACAATCACACCATATATGATGTCATCACAGAGCCAGCCAATCACAGATGAACAGAGATAAGACACATCTGCTGTAGTCATAGTTGCTATGAAAAAAAATGATCCAATAACAGGTGACAAAGCACTCATCTTTCCTGTTTACCGAATCCACAGCAAGAGTATACTGGCCATAGATGTTTGTTTCTTGATCAGCCAGACGGGGTGAACAAATAAAAATGAAAGGATTCCTCCATCCACACAAGCAAGGTGGATGGGAGAATCCTATTCTGACATCGAGGACTCCTCCACTATCAGATCTGGCTGCAGCCACTGATTGATAAACAATTTCCATCATCTCTATTAGACAGAAGTCATTCTAATGATCGACTTCTGTCGAACAAAGATGGACACACAACCAAAATGTGGCCACTCCCCGATGAACTGGTTACATTTCAATCCATCTATGGCAAGCTAAAGAACATGTTTACACAAACAGTGATCCCTGAAAAGTGTT